GACATTGTGAACATTTTAGACTATTCTTGTTGGGTGTCCTCGCTTATTGTTTTTTTTTGCTGAGTTGTATTTCGACTATTTTGATTCTACTGATCAAGATCTATTAGCACTGAAAGTTTCAATATTTCCCAATAAATCGATCTTCATAGATGTCAAAAAGAGTAAGATTCGTTCTAATGATTTGCACAATTTTGTTTCTATTTGTCAAGTCTGATAGACTGTCTATTGTGTTAATATTATATGGTGCTTTCGCTTTTTTCTAATGATATTGTTTACTTGTTCATCGTTCGATATATCGTATCAGTTTTGTTGAAAAAAGACATACAAATATGATGTTTTACCGACAAGAAAATATTTTACTAGCAAACATTTCTTTTGTTATACTTGCCAAATCTTGATCTCGAGATGACAATGAATTATTCAGTAATTCAGTATGTTCTAATCGTTGAAAATCTTTCATATTTTTGACAGATTCATAATTGCATACACCGATGGCTATTGTCTTGTCATCTGGTTTGGTCATTTTTCTCTTACGAATTGCTTGTCCGATGAGTTGTACAATACCAATATTTGCTCCATTTGTTAACAACCAAGTATCTGAATAGACTAGTGACTATTAAAGTGTGCAGATGACGAAAACTATTCTCACTTGATTTGCTCACAAACTTTACAAAATCATCAAGGAAATTGACTTCCATTTTTCCTCGTAATTTAAAATATTTATGTCCGCCTGTTACTTGCATTAGAAGTACAGGACGTGGAATACGCCAAATATCAAGTAGTATTGTCTCGACAATAGCCGGATCAGTTTCAATATCACATCGCACATACTATTTCATTAGAATTAAACAATCAAAGACAATGAGCCTTATTCTCAATTCACTTTTGGCCCCCAACAAGCAAAAAGAAGGGGCCATATGATAACTTGCTTGTTGCTAAGGTCGGTCTCTTTTCTTTCATCTATCTTGTTCTTTTTCAATCGTTTTGTTGAAAATTTTCAACAAAACGATTGAAAAAGAAAAAGATAGATGAAAGAAAAGAGACCGACCTTAGCAACAAGCAAGTTATCATATGGCCCCTTCTTTTTGCTTGTTGGG